TAACACATTAGCAAATCTGAGCCAGCGTTTTAAAAGGGAAAGATGTAGGGGCTGGAGTTGTAGCTCAGTGGTAGAGCGCTTGCCTAGCATATATGAGGCACTGGGTTCCATCCTCAGCACTGTATATAAATAAATAAATAAATGTCCATCAACAACTAAAAATATATATTTAAAAGGGGAAAAGAGGCAATATAAAAATATGGTTTGGGGGCTTCTTTTGAAAAAACTAGAAACTCTTGATGGCTCTGGCCTCACATTCCCACACCACAGCTAGCATCTCGGGGAGACTAGAGGCTGTTCCCTTTAAACTGGCTTTTGCTGTCCAGTTTGCCCACAGATCCCAGTTGTCCCTAATGTATCTGTTTGTCTTACTCCCAGCTGTGTCACCTGGTCACCTGAACCCTGCAGGTTTCTGAATGTGTAGTCCTCCACTTGAGGTTCACAGACCGTAGCCACTAACCACGGGGCACCTGCCATGGGCTGGCAGTTTCACATCTCTTGCTTATCACTCTTCACAGTGGCCCCCCTAGTAGTTTTATTGTCCTCAATTTATAGATAAGGCTCTGATGGGGATGGAGGAGAGATTGCCTCAAATTATACCACTGTGAAGTACCAGAACTGGAATTTGACCCTGGTCTCTCGGACTCTGAACTCATATTTGTCTTTCCTTTTCTCCCTTCCTCTCTCTTCTTCTCACTCTCTCCTCCTCTTTTTCTTTTGTAACTTTTTTTTTAAAAAAGTGTAATTACATGACTAGATCAAGAGAATATTCTCCTGAGAATTAAAACATTGAGAAGGGACTCAGCAAGGGGGTGGTGGTAGGAATAGGAAATAGATCAGGTCTCAGAATCCCAGATCTGGAGAGGCTGTAGCAAGCCCTGGCCTAGAGACCTTCTTGTATAGAGAGCGGGCAGAAAAACAGAGAGGGATAGTGACTGGCCCAAGGTCACAGAGGAAGTCTAGTCAAAAACAAAATCAGAACCAGTTGGTTACATCATGTGTCTACAAAGATCTTAAAGTTTAGGTTTCTTCCTGTCTTCCCACTTGGAGGGTTTTCAGAGAAGGCTTTTCGTGATTGGTTTTGTCACTTGAAGCTTCTTATCATTCCAGCCTCACACCTATTTTTCTGGACTAATAGTATTTTCAGGGTCCCATCATAATTTAGGTTTGGGCTGGGTATGTATGTTGCTCAATGATAGAGCACATGCTTAGCACATGGAAGCCCTGGGTTCAGTCCTAGCACTGTAATAATAATAATAATAATAATAATAATAATAATAATAATATCATCATCATCATCACATGATAAGGGAATCTTTCCATATCTGAAGATGTGGAGTCTGGGGACTGAGCCATGCTGCTTGAAACCCTAGTCCGATGGCTGCCACTCCTGGGTTTGTAAGCCAGGATGACTGCCAACCTGCTCCTTCCTTGGCAGGTCCTAACTTCTGTGGAGCCCATTTTGGTTTTTGAAGTGTATTTGGGTACCACCAATGCTCCTATTCCTGGATGAGAATGATCGTGGCTCAGAGGGGAGGGGGACAGTAGTATCTGTGTTCTGTCCGCCAGAGAAATAGATGGTCACTTTGTCTATTCATTATATCCTTCAGAGAAGTGAGGATAATTGGTTGGTGGATTAGGACTCAGCATGTGACCAGACCATGGTCAAAGTTCAGTCTCTAATGAAGATGAGGTTCAGTGTGTAACCAAGATCGGGACTCAATCTGAGAACATGGATTGGGCTCAGGCTGTGACCAGGGTCAGGGCTTAGTCTGTGACTAGGGTCAGGACTCAGCTAATGACCAGGATCAGGGTCAGTCACGACTAAGGTCAGGGCTCAGTCTGTGACCAAGATAAGGTCCTGGTCCAGGGTCAGGGATTGAAGTCCTTGAACAAATCCTTTGAACCAATCTCAGTGCCCTCCCTGAGACCCCAGGGTCTGGGGCAGGTGGGCTTATTGCCCCTGTCCTACCCAGGGCCCACCCCTTCAGGAAGCCCTCCCTGCATTCCCTGAGCTTCCATACCCCATGGTATGTGAGCCAGCCACCTCTGCTTCTCTCTAGGAGGTAAAGTACAAATTATAAATAAACAACAGTGCCCCTGCTGCTGCCCATGCGGGAACCACCAAATCCCACACGTGACCACTCCCCGCCCCACTCTGCTTTCTCATTGTTGGGTCTGGTGTCTGGTATTCCCAGCCAGGCAGCACACTCAAGGCGCCTGCAGAGCAGTGCTCAGGGCTGGGGACACGAGGCGTACACGGCTCAATAGAGGGACTCCCTTGGCCCCAGCTCTGGGCTACCACAAATTACAGAGCAAGCAGCAGGGCCTCCAGGTCTGATCACGGCAGCTGCGGGGGCCTGATAATTGGCTGCTGATGATTTTGTGTCTGTCTAAGCATTTACCCATGTGGGTGGAAGTGTTATGTCTGTGTGAACGAGGCTTTCAGAAATTAATACGTAATGGGACTGACTTAAGCATTGTTTTCTGGGCTTGGAGAGGGGCAAGCAAAGGGGGTCATGCCCCAGGAGACCCTATAGTCCATTCTCACACTGTGTCTGTGATGGGGAAGGGGGACTCACAACAAAGAGGAGGATAGGGTTTCATCTCCTCTTGAGGTACCCAGGTCTAGTCTGGGGGAGTATAGACAAGTATAGTCCTGTGTGAATTGATAGTTAGGGGAGGCTTCCTGGAGGAGGTGGATCTGGGCTGGATCTGAAGGAGAGAGAATCATTCTACACACTTTCTGGAAAGCAGGTGTCTGAGAGCTTGAGCTAAGAAGCCACTTAGTTGGGGAGGATGTTGGCAGACACCGAGGGCAAGTTACTCTGAACCATCTCTCCTTAAGTTCTGTCCTTCACCCTGAGGGTTCTGTGTCCATAGCCTGGTCTCTGTGCCATGCTGCCTGAGCACCTTAGTCTTTGCAGCCTAGGGGAGCTCTCAGGCCGCAGTCCCAGGTGTGCAGCCCTGGAGAAGACTCCTTTCTCTTGCCCTACTAGGCCTGGGAGGCAGGTGTTGCTGCTGCCTTAGTGTCACTGAGCATGTGGCCAGGAGCCCAGAAGTAATTACCCTGTGGTTCCCATTGAAGGCTGGAGCAGCCCCTATCAATGATTAACATGAATCCCAGTCACTGGAGTATCCAGCCACAGGCTTTTCCCACCTACAGTTTGTCAGAGGACATGAGGCATCTGTTCCCTTCCCCGGGGACAGGAAGGACCCTCAGTCACACAGATCTCATAGATATCATTAGAAGGTCCAGCAGAAAAGCCTCTGCAGACAGGCCATCTTGTTGCAGCCCAGAGGCTGGTCCACCTGGAGCCCTGGGGCCTCCCATCCTGAACTGGCCTAGCTTGTGATGACCCCCTCCCACTCTAGAGTTTGCCCCTCTGACCCTCATCCTGTTCTGCCTGGTGACTTCAGCAAACTCCTTTCCTCTCTCCATGTCCAGGGTCAGGGCTCAGTCTGAGGCTGAGAAGAGAGCAGAGCTAATTGGACAAATAGGTATTGAACCCGTAATCCTGACCCCATTAGTGCAAATTGAGCTGGCAGGGCAGGGACAGTGCTGCCGGCCAGTAGAGCTGATGAGAATCTCCTTCCTCTTCCTGGGGATTCTGCTGAAGCCCAGCCAGGCATGACCCTGGAGCTACACAGCCTCCATAGTCCTGGAGCAGATGGGGGATCCCTTACCTACGGGCATCTTACTGCTGAGGTTTTGGGAACCTCAGGTGGGGTCTCCTTGGTCGTGTAGTTACACACCCAGCTGCCCAATTGTAGCATGGCCCCTGTAGAGTGGTGGTTATTCTTTATTCCCTGGACATCCTATCCAAGGACTGACACACAGGGACCTAATGAAAACAAGCTGAAATGTTGCACTTCTTCAAAGAGCCCCAACTATGCCCTCCCTGCTCCTAGGGGTCAATTCCTAGCGGCTCTTGAAGCTTAGACCTCAGAAGAGTTCAGTGTTGAGCACCCATGGAGACCCCAAGTCATACTGGAAAGTGTGTTTGGAGGATCCCTGTGAGACACGTCAGCAGGACTGTCCACTCTGGGTTGGCAGAAGAAAGAAACTAAAAAGGCTGTCTCTCCTGCCCCAGAGGCTCTGGGGAGGCAGCTTCTGGGGATAGGGCCGAGAGGACAGCCCTGTGAATCAGAAGCCAATCATGTGGGCTTAGTTGTACCTTGCTTTCCCCAGCTGAAAACGGGACTGAAGAGGGGCTGGGTTTTAGCAAGATCTCAAAGCCTAAATTGGCGATTCCTGCAGAGTTCCCTGGGGGCTTTATATAATCATGGTGCCTGGGCCTCCCCAAGTTAGGCTTGGCAGGTACAATTTTGGAAAGCACCCCAGGTGATTCTGTTTCCGTCACTTTGGGAGCCCACGAACTGGGGCATCCCTATGGCCCTTTCTGTGTTAACAGTCTGCAGTTTTCTGATGGCTCCGTGGGCTTCCGCCCTTCAGTGGCTCCCCAGAGCTGGGTGTAAAATGCTGACTTCTGGGCCCAGCATCCAAGCCCATTGGTGATAGGCCCACCTCTCCAGGGAGCTGTCCCCCTTTCTTCCAGACAGGTGGTTAGGAATCAGAATCACAAAAATGTGGGGCCGGGCAGGACCTCAGGGAACAAGGCCCTTGCTCAGCTTCTTTGTTAGACTGTGTTTTCCTGGAGAGAAGGCACAGAGACCCACCCAGCTTCATGTCTTTGGAGCCCATACACTCCCTGGGGATCTTTATTGCTTGACCTGCCCTCAACCCCATCTCAGAAGAAGGGGGGTTATGTATAGCAGTATTTAGCTCCCCTTTATGGGGCAGCCCTCCCATAGCTTCCTCATCGGCCCTTCCATGACCAGTGCTGACTGGCCTTAGGACATTCTGCCCCAAATCCATCCCCAAGCCGTATGTTGCAACGCAAGCCTGCTTCCTCCTTCACACTGGTGCACTGTGGCACCTTCCAGCGTGAGCAGGTGAGCTCTCCTACCTCATTACCCCAGAGATTGTGCTCACGTGCTACTTCACAACAATATCTATTTTTGTTCCATTCTCCTGAGTGGTAGAACAGGAGGTTCCCGGGGGGAGTGGTGTTTGAGTCGTCTTTGAGTCTTGTAAGCTGAGCTGAGAAGTTCTCCAACTGCTTGTCCTCTCCCCAGTTTTCCCCAGATGGTCTTGTCAGCTGGGCAAAGCACAGAAGAGTTAGGCTATTAGCTTGAGGGAACACAGCATCTTGGCAGCCTGGAGCATTATAGAGCAGAGCAGATGTCCCCTGCTGTGCAGTTTGAGAATGTGTGCTCTCTCTCGCACACGTACACATGCAATAGTGTGAGTCTGTGTGTGCACAGACTTAGGGACTCCAGAGGTCTCGGTCCATCAGAGAAATGATGGATTGTTACCTTGAACTGTTCCTTTGGCCAGCTGTGCTGTCAGGATGGTGCAGCTACAATCTTTTCCTTAAGGAATTCTCTTCTACAACTTTCAGGGCTTTTCATGGTCCCCAGAAGAGTCCTGACTTTTTAGTCTGGTGTTCAGAATGCCCTCCATCTTCTCCTCAGACCCATGTCAGACTGGTGGGGGAGTCTGAGTTCTCTGAGGTGCTTCCTTCCCTTAGCAGCTTCCACCCACTCAGCTGCCCCGGCTGGCCTCTAGCCTCTACACTGAGGACTCATGGAATCTTGTGTGTCTTTAGACACCACTCTACAGGGGCCATCATAGAGGTCCATTCTCTCTAGAACCAGTAGGGAATCTAAGAGCCAAGACTTGTTCAAGGTCACATAGCAAGTTAGTCCCCATCAGAGACTCCTTCCATTGTGTGGCAAGGGCCTCGAGCCACAGTGCCGACCTTCCTGACCCATCGACACCCCGGCCCCACTCCATCTCTGAGGCTTTGGTAAACAGCAGACCATGTTCCTGCATCCATATCCTAAAGCCTGGCTGAATTTCTCCTCTGGTTGTCCCCAGCCTATGGCCAGACAAGCTCCTCATCTCATTCCCCAGCTTAGGACCCGGTCTCTCATGGAGCTGGCCTGAGTCCTCACTCCTTTGGAGTGGGTCTGCCCTTCCCCAAGACAGGGCTGCTTGAAGTGGGGTCAGTCCATCTCTCTCAGAATTCTCATAACCCTCAGTCCGAGCCCTGCATTTTAGTGGTCACAAAAATAACTATGATGATGATGATAATGGCTAAATATATCAAGTATTTATGCTGTAGAGTGTGTTAGAAATACCATCTTGTTTCATTCTGCCAGAGTCCTGGGACATGGGCATTAATGGTCTCATTTTGCACATGAGAAAATGGGCTTGGAGAGGTTAAGTGACTTGCCCAGGGATGCACAGAGGTGGCCAAACCCTGGAGCAGCCTTGTCATCACTGTGGAGTTTATTAGCAAGGCGGATGTCAGGCTCCACCCCGCACCTACTAAAGCCCACTAGTGTGGCCCTTAGGAGGATCCCTGGGTGTTCATATGTGCAGAGGCACTACACTGTGTGACAGAAGGGTCGCAGACATGGAAGAGAAGTTCAGTCACCCTCAGACAGCTCACTTTCTCCCTGGAAAGTGGCCAAGATTAGCCCTCAATGTATCATGACAGGCTAGGACCTCGGCCCAGGTCAGAAAAGGGCCAGAGAGCTAGGGGCATAGGGTCATTTGGAGTTTAAAACAACAACAACAAATCTTGTTACTCAAAAGAACTATCATCACAGAAAAATTAGAAAATAAAGGTATGCCAAAATCCAAACCTATCTCCACCCCCAGCCCCCATGAACCAAGCACTAGGTGCCCTTGGCTTTAAATCTAACTGTCTGAGGCAGCCTCTAGCAGCCCAGGGAGAAGCTACCTGGGAGCCCTGTGATTCTGAGTCAGAGATTTTGAGGTGGGTTAAAAATAGAGCCCTAGTGGCTAGGCAGTGGTGGGAGGAAGAAAGCAATTCATCTATTATAGTGGAGAGACCCTGGGGTCAGAGAGGGGAGGCTGGGCAGGAAGGAGGCAGTGGTGGGGGGCAGGGGTGTGTGTGTGGGTATTCTGTCCCCAGTGATCTATGCAGGTCAGGCTGGAAACAGTCTCAGCCTCAGTTGCCATCTTTAGGGAGCCTAAAAACAAAGGTGATGGAAAAGATCGATGGGAGAAATTGAAGAGATGGACCAGAGAGGGGATCTCCTGTAAGGTCCCTGGGGAGGAAAAGGGGATGGTATAAAGCAGGTAAGTGGAAGAGATCCTGATTCCCTTGGGACTGGAAGGAAAGGAAGAGGTGAGGATGAGGGATACGTAATCAGGTCTGGTTGTGGAAAGAGGAAGCGGACATTCTGGTGGCTCCCCTCTTCTCTGTGGAGTACAAGGTGGTGTCATCCACTGATGGTGAAGGGGAACATGGCAATCAGTCTCAGAGCTTTGAGGTGAGAGGCAATCATCTGAAATAATTGCTCTGGAGAATGGGTAGGGAAATTAGCTAGAGATTCCTGGGGGATGGACCCGCAGAGGCAAGCGCCCGACTGCATTTGGACATTCCATGAGAATGTTGAGGCACAGGGAGCTAAAGAACTTGGATACTTAGTAGAACTGGTCTGAGATTGTGGGGTTTTCTGCAAAAATCCCATACAATCTGGCCCGAGGTTCTGGTTTTTGAAGAGGGCTCCAGAAAGGCAGGGCATAAGGATTAGTGTATTAGAGAGGTGCATGAACTAGACCATTATGTCTGGGGTGAGCAGATTACAGGGAGGCAGGCAGGCTCTTTTGGGGAGGATCTGAGGAGTCAGCAGACTATGAGCTCTCAGGACACTGCAGGATAGATGATGCCCAGCTGCATGAGAGCTGGGCAGGAAGGAGGCTGGAGGGGTTGGCTCACCTGAGACTGCAGAGATGGAGCAAGGGGATGTGGTGACGTGGTCCAGAGTATGCAGCTCGGATGGATGCCTGGCATGGAGTTGTTAGAGTCAGGGCTTTCACCTCCCAAGAGCTGGGGGTTGTCTGGGTCGATGATAGGGAGTAGAAGTCACTCAGGGTGATGGCAGGATTTGGCATGGAACAGAAGGTTGAAAACCAGGTGCCAGTATTGCCGTGGTCCCTGAGGGTAGCAGATGGATGCTGGAAGGATGGCCAGCAGATGACAGGATGCCCAAAGGATCTTATAGACCTTTCTACCATAGGAAGGAAGTGGCAGCAGTAGGGAGAGGGGACAATGCTGACTCACCCCTGACCTTGAGGCATGAGGGATTTGGGAGAATGATGACCTTACGATGCAATTTTCACTCCCTAACTCCTCTGCTTCTCCCCTTAAGTGATTAAGGGGAGAAGCAGAGGAGTTAGGGAGTGAAAAAGTTGAGATGAAGGTTCCTGGAAGAGAACACAAGAGAGAGATTAGGGAGGGAGAGGAGGAGGAAGTGGAGGCACAGAGACAGGGAGTAATAAAATATCATTTGCCAGATTCATATTTCTGTAACATAGTTAGAAATTGGGATTCTATAGTCAGCTTATTTGCGTTTTAAATTTTTTTTAGTTATAGGTGAACACAATATCTTTATTTTATTTTATTTTTTATGTGGTGTTGAAGATTGAACCCAGTGCCTCACGCATGCTAGGCGAGCACTCCACCTCTGAGCCACAACTCCAGCCCCTGAATTCTTTTTTATTTATTTATTTTTTGGTACCAGGGATTGAACCCAGGGGCATTTAACCACTGAGCCACATCCCAAGCCCCTTTTTATTTGGAGACAGTGTATCACTAAATTGCTGAGGCTGTCTTTGAACTTGGGGATCCTCCTGCCTCAGCCTCCAGAGCCACTGGAATTATAGGCATGAGCCATCATGCCCAGCTTGCATTCAAATTTTTGATCTACCACATGTAACAAAGTTCTCAACTTTGTGTGCTTCAGTCTCCTCATCTGTAAAATGGGCATAATCACAGTATTTCCTTCATAGGGTTTTATGAGGATTAAATACATCCAAATTGCTAAGACTAGTGCCTGTCAAACAGTAAGTGCCAAACAGAATTTGACTGCTTCCCTTCTCCATTTACATGGTCTTTATTATCACTTTGGGTGGTATCTTCATTGGTCCTGGAAAACCAAAGGCTGGATCATAAATGGAGGGGAATCTCCCAGCTTCCATCACTTTCTCAGACATGAGGACTCCTAGATCGTTCAGTTCTACGGTTTTTGCAGGGGTTGGAATGAGGGTCATGTGTACCTGATGAAGGGTACGACATTTGCTAACATAGACATACAAGCCCAGAGTAGGGACCATGGTTAGGCAAATCCCAGAGAGGAGGAGGACACTTGGCCTTGAATGAGAGAAGAGATTTCAAAAGATGATGGTTTTCAGAAAGGGAATGAGGATGTGATGTAGATGGGCCAGCAAGGGGGTGAGTGGGGCACGAGAGCAGGAGATAAGAGGGAGAAGAGGGAAGGAACGTGAGGGTTCCAGACCCAGGAGCCCAAGCTTTCTTCAATAATGGTGATTCACCACAAGAGTTCAAGATAGGAGCGACTTCCTCATAATTTGGAAATAAAATGCAGACAGTGTGTGAGTTGGAGAGAAAGAGGTTGGGGCTATAGACCAGGCAGGAAATGGGTGCAAGGGTCCAGGTGAAGAGCAGATCTGGGCCAGATCACGATGGAAGAAGCCAGGTGAGACTTGGTAGCTTTGGGGGGGACTTGTGGGGATGGGTGGAAGGTAAGAGAAGGCTCTGTGGGGGGGGTGACTTGAGATTTGGAGCCCAGGTGATTGAAATGCAGACTGCTCCGCCCTCTAGGAGCACAAATTTTGCAGGCAGGTGGGAATGCAGGTCTGGTGGGGTGTCTGACTAGAGCTGTCCGCTCGGTGGGAGCAGGAGAAGATGGGCACTAGGTGTGCTGCCTGTTTTGGAGGGAGCATGGAGACCATGGGATCTGCCTCTCACTACTTCTCTCCTGGCTCTCCAGAGCCCAGCTGTGGCCTTCTGAGCAAGACTCCTGTCAGCTTAGAGAGCCCTGGGGTAGAGGAGGGTCCTCTGGCTTTAAACAGAAAGAGGCCTTGGATTCAGGCATTTATGAACTCCAGTATGTCTGAGTCTGGCTGTCCACTGGTTGATTCTTTATCAGTACATGACATTACCACCTTGGTTACATAGCTTGGATTTTGGGACTTATTCACAGGTGATTCTGGGGCAGAGCATTGCTAGGGGAGCACTGGGTATCTATTTCAAGGCTTTGGGAATACTACTATTTCTTCCTTCATGGGTCTTAGTTTTCTGTTCTTCAGAATGGGTGCAAATGTTCCCAATTAACTGACTGCTAGTGACCAAGGTGCTTTTTTTTGGGGGGGGGTGGTGTGTGGCACATACTGGTGATTGAACTCAGGGGCCCTTGTCCACTGAGCACATCCTCAGCTCTGTTTTTTATTTGATTTAGAGACAGGGTCTCACTGAGTTGATTAGCATCTCGTTTTTGCTGAGGTTGGCTTTGAACTCACCAGCCTCCTGCCTCAGCCTCCTGAGCCTCTGGGATAGGTGTGTGCTACCACATCCAGCTCAAGTTGCTTTTAACATTTGAGAGGTGTACTACATCCCTACTCAGGAAGTTTCCTCAGAAGACTCCAGCATCAGGAAGGTAGGTCCCTTTGCATACTCTTTGAAGCCCCCACTTCTCCTGTCTCTGGGACAGGGGCTGCACCTGCTGCGTTGAGAAACATGCCAGAAAAGCTTGTCTTCCTCCTGCCTCCCACTGAGGTGCCTGACACCCTCAGACTCTAGAGTCTCACAGATCTCTCTGAATCTTGCCTCTGTTCCTCATTAGCTATGTATCTTGGGCAAAGACTTCTCTTTGAGCTTCAGTGTCATTATCTATAAAATTAATAGCAACCATAGTGTTGGTGTGAGGGTTAAATGAAAAAAAATTCATGGAAAACACAAAGTAAGTGTGATATTTTGGGGTCTTTTCTTTTTTTTTTTGGTACCGGGGCTTGAACTCCCAGACAGTGAACCACTGAGCATTCCCTGGTCATTTTTATATTTGATTTAGAGACAGGGTTTTGCCAAGTTGCTGAGGCTAGCTTTGAACTCACAATCCTCCTGCCTCAGCCTCGTGAGCCGCTGGGATTACAGGCATATGCCATGGCCCCTGACTGGGGTCTTTATGAATAAAGGTTTTTCTGTCACCAAGGAGTTCCTGATAAAAAAAAAAAGCCCAGACACATTAAGGAATCTCTTGAGAGGGTTATGACCATCAGAATTGGGAATGAAGATAGACTAGGGAGCTGAGGATGCCAGGGGGAGGCTCTTGCCAAGTTTCTGGGGTTGGACCTGCAGATCAGGGCTGGCAGGCGTGACGGGCGCTGTCCATGGTGCTGAACACAATTCTTGGCTCATGCCTGCCCAGGCTTTCAGAGATCTGTGCAACCATCTGGCAAAGAGCAAGGAAGGGTAGTCCACAAGGCCAAGGGAAGCTTCCAAAGCCTGAGTCCTCTCACTCCATTTAGGATCACTTTCCTGACTTCACCCTTCTAGACCACCTTTTGGATGCCGGTGCTGCATGGGATGTTTTTCACATCACTGCCCAACTTGCCTTCCACCCAAGCCTTAGCCTCTGATGGGATCATGAATTTTCAGGTTATTGCATCTGGATGCTGGAGTAAATGGGTTCTGTTATCTGATTAATCAGGTACTGTAGCCCCTGCCGTCTGCCACTGGCTTTCCTGAGTTTATTAGAGGTTTCCCTCCAATCCCATTCCCAGTAGATGCTTTGCTTTGTCTCTTCTCTGAAAAATTTAACTCCCACATCTCTCACCTCCTTCCTGAAAATCTGTTGGTTTGAGTTATTTATTCACTCATTTCATAACACGGAACAAAGGCCAAAAAATTTCATATAACAATTAACTTCATTCTCTTAACAAGTTTACTAGTTAGGTACTGTGATTATCTTCATTGAGCAGATGAGTAAACTGAGGCAGGGAGAGAGTGAGTGATGGAGTAGGAGTAGAACCCAGGTGGGCTGGCCCCAGAGCCTGTGCCTCTTCCCACCAGATTATGCTGCCCCCCTCAAGCAGCTCTGTGAGGCTCCCAGACAGTGATTTGTGGAGACAAATGCTCTGGTGTTCCGACCCCAGCCCAGACCAGGCACCAGAAATATCTTGAGCATCTGGAAATTCAAGATTGAAACAATTAGTCAGAATGTAAGGAAATGGGTGTTTTTGCCTCATGTAATTTGGTTTTATGAAGACCACTAAATGCAAACATTCTCCTGTTAATTACTGTCTTGAATTTGGTCTATAATTGAGAGAACTAGAGCTGGGGGGAGCGAAGAAACCCGCTGGAGTGGCAGGCCTGCCCAAGTCAGCATTCCCAGCCGCCTCGCGCACCCGATCTGTTAATTTTAGAAACTCTCTAGCCTGGGCATATTATTAGCTTTATGTACAGAGGACCACATGGCCCTCAGTGGCTTCTCTATGCCACATTTTTTTTTTGGTTTGTTTTCTTTACCCCAAGAAATTAAATGGAAAGGAATGACAGTGGTGTGTACATAGGGGTGTTTGTGTACTGTGTATGTGAATGGGGATACCTGGACGTGGCTTCTAATGAGTATATACAGCTGTCTTAGAGTGACATGTGTGCAGCTGGGCAGAGAGTGTACACAGCTCAAAAAAAAAAAAACCCCATGGAAGCTGAAACCATTCTCCCCCAACACTCATTAGGGGATGTGTTGTGGGTGTATTCTTTGCAGGAGGGTGTGATGGCTGGGGTGTGGCCCCAGACCTTCACTGGGTTGTCCCAGTAGCCATAGGGATATTGGAGCTGAAGAAGGGGTGGTGGGTCCTGGAGAAGGGAAGAAGCAGACATTGACATCTGGGCACCAGCCTTAGAATGAGAAGTTTTGGCTCCTCTGAGGCCCTGACTTTCAAAGGAGCTGCTGGAAGCTGCCTTTGCAGAAGCCACTGTTCCCTGAGCGGTGTGACTTGGGACAGCTCTCTTGCCTACCTTCAGTGAGGTAGGCCCTGCCCTCTCCTTGACTCACAGCACCATTTTAAGTCTGCCAAAGAAAACAGTTTGCTGTGAAGTAATTTCTTTGCAAACCTGGAACTCTTTGGGCAGGAGCACTTCAGTTTTGGGGGGAGCCCTCTGAAGACTTGAAGAGAGAGAGCTCGTCTTTCTCCCATTTACTTCCTTCTGGCTTCTCTGCCGTGGAGAGTGAAAGATGGCTGAAAGGTTATTTATTCTGGAAGAAGATATGCTTGTTTCTGCCTGACTCAGTACCTTCATCTGTCTCTGTGTAATTGTCTGAATTCATAGTAGAGAGAAAGAGCTCTGCGGTGCAAGTTCTCAGTCTTGGGACCAGCCCTGGGATGGTTGATGCTTGGGTGGGATCTTTGGAATGATTGGCCTTATCTTCTAGATGCAGGGTCTGTGCCCATCTGTACTGTCTCCACACTCCAGGAGGCCCCCTGCTGGACCAGGTAGAATGATCACCCAACACCGATGAGTTGACTTTATACATCTTCACATTGCTCAGCTTCTCAGAGGCTTTGCCCTGAAGATCCCTTCGACCTCCCCGAGGAAGGACTTGCAGGTGCTTTGAGGCCTTAGGACAATGATGCTGGAAGCCCTGAACTGGTCTCCCTTGATTGCACTGAGTGGTACCTCACTGGTGCCTGAAATCCCCTCCATTGACACTTCCTGCTTTGATGCTACCCCTGCCCCATTCATACCTCCATGCTAGGATGCAAACCTCTGAGGGAGGAAGATGGTCAGACATTTTCTGGCTAAAGGGGACATCAGAGAGCCAGTGTGGGAGAAGGAGAAGACGGAGGCCCAGAGTGGGGAGAGCACGTGCTGTATATTACATAGATACCCCTGACAGAGCCAAGGTTAGAACTGAGGCCTTTGCCTCCCAGGCACTGCTACACCTAGACTTTCCCTGCTCTCTGATCTCTGTCTGATAACCTGTCTCAGGTTACAGCTAACCCTCAAGGAGGATGGCCTGGGCCTGGGGTGCTTGAGGTGAACGGCTCTTGTCATTAAAACAACCTCTCACTTTCTTCTGGGTGTCATTGTTTGACTTGCTTTTCAATCTGACTCTCACTAGAAGGTTGGGGATAAGTGGAGGAGGCTTGTTACCCGGGGCACTCACCAAAGGGCAGGAAGGAGGTTATCCTTAGTGAATGAAGAGCCTCTTTCTGTGTCACTTCCTGTGTCTGCAACCTCCACATCTTGCTCTGGTATCCATGCGCCTGTCTCCCTGAGTCTTGGAACTTTCTAAGACATCTCTCTCTCCCATCTGCTCTCTTTTGGAGCTTTCTCTCTTAGTCTTGTAACTTGTCCTCTCTCTCCTTCTGGTGATTGACATCCTGTGTCTCTGGGCAGATTTTACTGGGATCTGACCATGCTGCTGCTGATGGTGGGAAACCTGATCATCATTCCTGTTGGCATCACCTTCTTCAAGGATGAGAACACCACACCCTGGATCGTCTTCAACGTGGTATCAGACACATTCTTCCTGATCGATTTGGTCCTCAACTTCCGCACAGGGATTGTGGTGGAGGACAACACAGAGATCATTCTGGACCCACAAAGGATAAAGATGAAGTACCTGAAAAGCTGGTTTGTGGTGGATTTCATCTCCTCCATTCCTGTGGACTACATCTTCCTCATTGTGGAGACACGCATTGACTCAGAGGTCTACAAGACTGCTCGGGCCTTGCGAATCGTCCGCTTCACCAAGATCCTCAGCCTCCTGCGCCTCTTGCGTCTCTCCCGCCTCATTCGATATATTCACCAGTGGGAAGAGGTGAGTGGTTAGACCAAATCTCTTGGGATAAAGGGGTATTTTCTCAGGTGAAGAGAAGAACCACAAGCAGGTAATTTCAGATAATTGGACTGTACTGTCAGATTATAGCAGGCATACCTGCTCCAAGAGGAGAAATATTGGTAATTTCTTGGTCTCTTGTCATATGTTAGATACTACACAAAGCACTGTGCACACGGTATTCCACTGAAATCCATAACAACCATAGAACATATAAGTACATGGAGACCCTTGTTTTTCACATGAAGAAACTGAGAAACAGAGATGAAATGATTTACACAAGGTCAAATGCCCGAGAATTGGTGAACCTGGAACATGGAGCTGACTGACTCCAGAGCCTGCCCTGATAATGACTGCACCATATTTGGGGGGTTGTAAACTCTAAGTCTTTGGGGGCCTGGTAGGAAATGTGAATGGGTGAAAAGAGCCAGTTGGGGACAGTAATGAGGGTGATGGAATTGGGTTAACTGAGGAACATACCTTCTGTCTGTATTGAACAGCCTCTTCTTGGTTCTAGCTAATTGCTGCCACATAGGAATAGGCCAAAGAGGTTGCTAGATCTACAGCTATATCATGAGAAGCAGAAATCTTGATTTTTATACAGATTTTGTTGGCAATTATCTTAGATTGAGTTTTTCTGGAGCAGACCCTCAGAGGAGGATTATGTGAAAGTGATTTTCGTGGTAGCATTCCTAGGTAAATCTGATAAGGGAATGGAGAAGAGGGACAGGGAAAGGTCCAAAGCCAAGCAAGTGTAGGACATTTAGCAAAGTTCCATGGAGGGTGATTTTGACCAATCTCATGAAGAGCTCTGCAGACAGTATGCACCGTACATTGATGTTGTCCCAATTACAGAAAAGAGTTGGAATGTTGCTATCCCTTTACCTGTCAGTCAGTGGTTTGGGGCCTCCCCACCCTCAGTGCAAGCAGCCAAAGCAGTTTCCAGCAGTCTGGGAAAGGCCTCTGATACAGAAACTGGAGGAGGTAAAGTGCCTGGGGAGCCTGGAGTCCTGTGCACAATCACTGTAAAGAGATCCTAGGGGCTGTGGGAATCGGCTACAGCAACTAAAGAAAAAATTGTAAATGAACGGTGTGGGCCAGCACCATTCTGAACAATCCTAACTCATCCATGAGCTGGAGCAGTTTTATCTGTAGGAGGGAAAAGGAGGACTTGGGCCACGGGGAAAAAGCACGGGTGACCTTGCTGGGCATTTCAGTCTGTGTTCGCCACCCACCCATGTTGCTTGTTTTGGCAGCAACAGCAGGCAGGCTAGCCTGGGGGTACCTGGAGTTGTGGGGAGTCGTGTTTTACGAGACACCCACCTCGGCATGTGGAGTGGGCTATGCTGGGGAGGCTTCTTGCTGGTTACATTTCTCGCTGCTTCTCGCTGCTGGTCTCCTGACCTCCAGGACCCCTGCTTGATCAGATGGAAAGTTCCATGATCAGATTACAAAGTCCTCTACCCCCACCCCTAACGGCAGCCTGGGCCCTGGCTGGCAGCATCCATGGCTGATGGTTGGGGCACCGGCAGATTCAGGTCAGAGGCGTCATGAACACATGTGCCGTGCAGAAGTGTCTACACCAGCTTGGCAGAATTGCTCTGTGGCAGAAATTCTCTTTGGCTTAGAAATTTACATTATTCCTGCTGACAAAGAGGAGCAATGACTTGCCCAAGGTCATGCAGCAGACCTTTGGCAGAACTGGGGCAGAATCCAGTTGGCTCTCTTAGCTCCCAGCAGTGTGGCAGTCTCTGCCTGGTGTAATGGAATGCTCAGGGGCTTTGGAGCTAGAATGACACATTTGAGACCAAAGTTAAAATGCCAGCTCTGCATTCCTAGTTGTGTGACCTTGGTGCCACCTTGACTCTCTGAGCTTCATTCTTTTTATCTGCACAATGGGTGTGAGAATTTCCTGATGGCTGTGGAGGCCTTCACATGAATCCTGGTGCAGAAGAGCCATTTAATAAATATCACCCTGTTGTTTTGGTAATATTTCATTGTTTCCTCACACATAGCTAGAAAGGTAGACAGGGCAAAACTTATCACCCCTATTTTCCAGAGAGGAAATTGAAGATGAGAAGGGTCAGTTGCCCCAGGGGTAATATTTTTGACTAAAATTTCTGTTCTCTGATTCCATGACTTTGACTCCATTAATATTCTCTCTGATGGCTGGGTACATCCCCAATGGGTGATGGACTCCATTCAGTCCAGCAGGTTCTTGCTGAGCATCTACCTGTGCTCTGTCCTGGGTGGGACAGTGGGGACCAGAGGAGTAGGGACGACTCCCAACTGAGATCAGAAAGGGGAAAAGTGTGGTGGGTGATGGGGTGGAGAGCAGGGAGGAGTTTGTGTCAGGTTGATTTGTGTTACCTGTGGGACATCTAGGTCCAGAGAGATGTTACCATGTGGGTCTGAGCTCAGGACTGAGAAGGGACAATTCCTATAGTGGTCGGTGCCTGTGAAGGAAGGTTAGAGGCATATTTCGCAGGATGCCCTGAGAGGCTTATCTCCTGGTTTCTGTACCAGGTAGAAATGGCTCCCTCAGAACCTGAGAAACCCTTCAACTTCTATTGGTCTTGGACTCGGAATTAGACCGTCATCAAAGCAGAGATATGTTGGCCTCCCTCCCTTCTCTGGCACTGGTTTTGGTCTCCAGACTCCAGCACTCTGGGGGCTGATTTGCTCCCCACTTAGGGCTGGGGCTCTAGTGGCCATGCTATTTGGTGGGAGTTGGCAGAGTTGCTGGCTGCCGGGCCAGGTGAATCTTGGGACAGAGCTAAGCTCTTCTTTACTGTCCCTATACTGTACATTCTGGGGCTCAGGCCCAGGGTTACCGTCCCCATTGTTCCTCTGGCCTGACTATCCTCCGGACTCCCCAGAATTGATCTGGCAAGCTCCAGTCTCCACCTCTCCTTAGGGAAGGTAGAAGGCCCAGGAGGCCTTAGGTCAAGTCTCTGAACTGCACATCACTATCCAATCTCATGGGGCAGGAAGGGAGATCCCAGGAGGCCAGATAAATGGCTCTCCACTCCCTCCACATATGCCCTTATCTCTCCTACCAGCTGGGGAGGAAATTGCTTTGAGCTAGTTTCTCCCAGGCACATAGCCCAGCCAAGGGCTCCACTCAACCCCTGGGATGGGATTGGGGTTTCCCAGCTGGCCTCGGCATCCTGTCTCCAGGTCCTTTCCAACCCATCCCAGCCCTAGGACTTCTCCCAGCCTTAGTTTGTCCTGGAACAGCAGTATGAAGACCCTTTGAGGCCTGGGGTCTATAGAGAGCTGGGGAGGGAAGTTTATAGTATATATCTCCTCTTCAAGTCCTTATGTGAATCTCTTTCCTTCTTTGGGTCTCAGTTTCCCCAACTGTCAGGGAAGTGCTGGTGTCTGAGGCTATGGCTCCCTGAGGCTTAGTCCCCAGCTCCCATTTCTTTTGGTAAAAATGGTGTTAGCAGATCCTGAGCACATGGTTGTGGCTGATGGGGCCTAAAGGAGGAAGCTCCAGGGGCGGGGGCCAGGGGAGTCTGCTTCTCCCAGACTGGGAAAGCTTTCCAAAGATGAAGCCGTGGAGTGGTGAGGCTCCTGACACTCAGGTTCAGCTGTCTTCCTGAGCTAGTCCCAGCTCTACAGCCCAGGAGGTTTCCCAAGTGTTGGTGGCAGGCAGGAGGATGGAGTGTTCAGGGCAGGTGCAAGCCACCCTCACAGGGGATGCAGCCTCTGCCTCCATCCTAGGCGATCTAGGTCAGCAGCCTCCTTCCCAAGCCTCTCCCAGCCAGCCTCTTCCCTCCCTCTGAGGTGTGAGCTTGTTACAGGTATGCAAGCTATTGTTAGAAACCTTGGTTTCCCCCCTTCAGATGTTCCCCTGCAGGGCCCAGCACTCCAGTGACCCATCCCAGAAGCCTCTTCTCTCCCTCAGCAACCTAGAATGGCAGAAAGAGGGCTGTAGGCTGTGTGGCCTCTGACAAGTCCCTCCCTCTGAGGGCCTTGAGTTCTCCATCTCTCTGACTTGAGTGGTAGGGGATAACACAGAGGAGTGGCCATGGGAGCCGGAGCTGGCCCACTCTGCTGGCCCTAGGAAGGGACCCAGTGTGACTCTCAGTCCAGGTGCTACAGGGTGTGCTCAGGATACCCTTGCCTGGTCACCCTCTCAGGCTTGGATTGCTGCCCTCCATGCAGGAACACTTGTTCCTGAGACCCAGGTAGACGTGTGTTCTTTTCCTTAAAGAGCAAATGAGTCTCTGGGAGGGAACTCAATCAGGTCCCAAGAAGAGATCTTGATGGAAACTCATGGCAACCTGAATGCTGATTTCTGGAGTCCCCCAGGACTGAGAAAGCAGCTCTTTTTGAAGGGCTGGGAAAGAGGGGGAAAGAAAATAACAGAGTACCTACTGTGCAGAATAGCACTGTGTGCCACCCGAGGACATTATTTCCCCTGGCCCCCAAGACAGCCCTGAGAACTGACAGTTACTGACCCATTCCACAGATAATGAGGCTCTGAGGGGAAAGACACTTGCCTAAGGTGAAAAGCATGTTGCTATGTCCTGCACTGCAGATGACAAACTGCAGGAGTGGGAGTGAGCCATGCTGGGTGGGCAAAGTGTGAGCTGCCTGGACCTTGCCTGGCAAGGCCTGTGGTAGCCTGGAAATGAAGGTGCTCAACCCCTACAGTCAAAACCAACATCATAAAAGGGGGTTTTAATGAAAATAAAGAGCAAGGCAAATATTTGCACAGTGCAGCTGAGTGGCACGTGGGCTGTGGCCCTAGCCCATAGTGGGGACATATGAGTATCAGGCAGCCTCTCCCAGCAACATCCTGTCTTGTTCTCAGCAACCGAATTGTGGGTGCTGTTGAGTGCTGGGGTGGGTGAGTGTACTCCTAGCCTGAATGGATGTGTCCCCGACCCACGATTCCCAGGAGGCTCAACTCTGACCATGATGGTACGCTGGCTTTGCAGGGTCTGCGAACCAGCTGCAGTGCCCTCCCCCACCCCACATCTGACTCCTCCTTCCTTCTCACCAGGCACTACCACCACACGCTCTGTGTGGGACACACCTGTCTGCCCTTTTTTATTTCCACTGTATACACTGGCGGGAGCCCTGTTCACCACCAGCCCCATCCCTGTCATTGTCACCTTCACCTTCGTCATTAAGCACTTCTCAGTTCCTGAGACCCTGCCACGTGCTCTGTGGCATTTTCATTGCTGAGATCACAATAGGGCAAAATTAGACAAAGACTTGATCTTGGAAGGTTAGTTACGAAGAAAAGAAAAAACATAAGTGATGCGAGAGAGGGCCCTGCGTGAACACATGCCAACCCCGATGCCTTAGGACCCAGAGCGATTTATAGAAAGAAGCAGTATGTATGGACTGTGACAGGCTGGGGAACTTTGTAGACATGGCCAGAGGCTTCCCGTAGCTCCTCTATGTCCCCTTCATTCATTGAAGCAAACACACATATATTCAGGCAATCAGTAGATGTTTCTCATGCCCCCTGTGCTAAGCATGGAGGAATGCAGAAGTGAAAAATACAGAAAAGAGCCTTGCCTTGTGGAGTTGTATGACAGTAAGTAAATGTCACTTTAGATAGTGAGACTTCCACGGAGGAAATAAATGAGGGAGAAAAGTCATAATGAGGGTGGGAGGTGAGGGCCATTGGCTACTTCACATAGAGGGGTCAGGAAGGCCTCTCCAGAGAAGCAGTCAAGACAGGAGGAGGAGGAGGAGCTGGAGGAAAGACAATGGACTAGCAAGTCCCGTACTGAGCCCCGAGGCTGGCCCATTCAAGAACCTGAGGGAAGGCCAGTGTGGCTGAAAGTGGAAGGCCTTGGGCTGAGGGTGGGATGTGGGTTGGGCAGATAGTCAGGGGCCAGGACGCTGAGGCCACAGTTAGCAGATAGAGTGTACTCAGAGGTGCAGTGGGAAGTCACTGGAAGTTTTGAAGTGGAAGAGTGTCAAGATCTGATTGAGGTCTCAAAGAGCTCTGTTTCTTGGTTGAGAATGGATTAGAGGTTCAGGGAGCCTCATCGGGAGGCTGGGGTAGTCATCTGGAGTGTTTGGAATAGGGTCTTACTGGGATTGCAGTAAAGTATATTATTTGAGGATGTCTTCATGGGAAGTGGGGCTCAAAGGAACTAGATTGGTTCTGGATTGGGTGTGGGGCTGGGGTGAGAGAATGGGAGGAATCAGGCTGGCGGTTGGGTTTTTGTTGCTCAGCTACATGAAGAGTGTTGCCAGTTGTGAGCTGGGAGGAACAGTTTGGGATGGATCCATATGGAGATAGACAGGGAGACAGCTGAACAGATGAGCCCATCTGTCACTCTTGTCTACCTGTGTGTCTTGGGCATAACAGAAACAAGGAAGTGGGATATCTCAGGGATTGGAGAGAGAACAACAGGAAGGCCTCAGGTAAGATCATCATTCCTTGTGGTGGAGGCAGAACAGCAGCATCCTGGGGATCCCCTTATCCAGTGAGACTCCCTATAGGGTTTGCATAGAAATGCCCCAGACTGATACCCTCCACAGCCAGGGAAATCCTCAGCTATGTCTGTGTCTGTGTCTGTGGCTGCAAGATCTGTGGGCAGCTGTGCAGGACAGCAACACCTGGAAGGGGGTTGCTGAGAGCCTGGCCAGTCTGCTGCATAGCCCACTGCACCCTGCGTATCTGTCTCTCATGCTGGGTTCCTACCCACTCCTTCTCATGTTGCTCTTCTGGGTGTGACTGACTTCCCCAACAACACTCTGAGCTCTGGGTGAGCAGGGGCACTTTCTTCCCTGCCCCCCACAGGGAGGGAGAGTTATTGGGTACTGACACAGGCTGACCTTTTGCAGATTGTGGAGTAGATGTTTGGGTCCCTCCGAGGGTACTGCCCTGAGACCCAGGGAAGAAGGGCCCTGTTGGGCTCATAGTCTGGGGGCTCTCTGAAACTCTTTCTAGATCAGACTGGGGTACCTGGACCTAGCATTCCTGACCCAAACAGCCAGAAGTCTGCTTCCTGGGCCTGTGTAGGCCCCTACTCAGGTCCCTGCTCATGTACACTCCCCTGACCCTTCACAGGAAGCTGTCAGTAGTGGTGGCATGGATGGAGCTTGGTTGTGGCCTGAAGTGGCCCATGTTCTGGTGTGGTTTTCTGAAGTTCTAGTTTAGAGATGGGCCCTCCAGGGTGTTATGATGGTGTATTCTGTCAAGGTAGGACCACAGAATATTTCCTTTAACAGTTTTTCAGCCTGATTTACAACTTGAAATACGTAAACTTGTAGTTTGTAGAACAATTTGTCCCCTTGTCTAGACACTCCAGTTATCAGGGGTAGGCATATATCTAAGGAGCTAGGCATATAGCTCAGGAGCTAGGTACTCAGTCCAGTGAGTCCAAGAGGTTGCTGTCCTGCCCCCTGCTGATCACTGTCTCTGCAGCCCGTGTCATTGGCTCTCAACCGAGAATTGAAATATCTAGGTTCTGTCTCTTTGGGCCTCAGTTTCCCCTTCTGAAATGGATTTCAACTAAGTCTCTGTGACATTCGATAGTCCCATAATTTTGACCTAATGCCTCTATCTAAGAGGGGTGTCTCTGCCTGGGAACAGTATGGAGGGACCAGAACTGGATGGCTGGAGGCACCCCCATAAAGTCTCCCAGGCCAGAAGCAAGGCTAGAACTTCCACAGACCTTCCTCAAGATGTCCCTTCACCTCTCCATCCCCTGAATACCCTGTCACCACGACTCCTACCATGCATGAGTCCCTATCATATACTAGTGTGGCAGATTTGGGAGGATGAAGGTGAGTCAGGGATGAATCCCCACTTGGATCCTACCCTGCCACACTACAAGCCTCCCACTCGGTACTACCAGTGGAAAAGGGCAGGTGCAGTGGGCTGGGCTTATGAGCGTGCTTCTCATACTTCTTCACTGAAGTATAAAGGAACGCATATTGCTAATACATATTAACTAATCATAAAGATTAATTATTAATAACAACTTATCAGTTCATAATGGCTTATAATTTATTGAATACTTCTATACTCAGTACTAAGTACTTTATATGTATAATTTACTCCTTTTGACAACTCACTCAGTTAAGGATTTTATCATCATTTTGCAAATGACAAAATATGATCAGAGAGGTTTGGGGACACTCTCAAGGTCATGCAGCTAGGAGTTGTGTCTAGGGACTGGGACTAGGATCATCTGTCTGAACATGGAATCTGTGGGCCTGTGCAGCTCTAACTACAGTTCCATGGCTGGCTTTGGCAGAGCCCACTGCTCCTGGGTGGGTTCTGAGAGTTCAATGACAGATTTAGGAAAACATCACGCCCTGAGCTTGATTCCAGACCATGGTCCCTAAGGAACCCTCAGGATGACAGGCCAGAGAACTCTGGTGTATCAATGCCCTAGCCAAGCTGAAGAGGTGGGCTGCAAGGGGCTCTGGGGAGCCTCTTCCCACATGTCTTGGATGGCTGCACCTCCTGTGGGAGGTGCCCGTATCTGCATGGATGCCCAGAACATCCCTCTAAGACCCACACCTGCAGCCATCGTCTTCTAGTGCCCTCCCTCCCCAGCCCCAGCCCGATCTCCTGCTGAGCAGGTGCTCTGCGTTGAAAGTGGAGACAGTGCCTACAGCTGCCCAGGATCTGGCCAGGAGGGGGTCACCACTCCTCCTGTCCTCTCACCTAACTCTGCCAACATCTCCACCTCTGCTGGCAGATCTTCCACATGACCTACGACCTGGCCAGCGCCGTGGTGCGCATTGTGAACCTCATCGGCATGATGCTCCTGCTCTGCCACTGGGATGGCTGTCTGCAGTTCCTGGTGCCCATGCTGCAGGACTTTCCCGACGACTGCTGGGTGTCCATCAACCACATGGTGGTGAGTGCACCCAGAAGGCCCTCGCTCTGGGCTGGGGGTTCCTTCTCTAGAGGTCCAAACGGTAGAGAGGATTGATAGCTCAGAACTCCTTCGGGCACGTGACTGCCCGAAGGCCGAGCTTTGCTCAGTCCAGGAATCCGCTCCCAGGGCTCTCGGCTGAGGGCTGTTACCACCACCTTCTTACAGCCTCACCTGTTGCAGGGAGCTCTGATATTTGGCCTAATTTTACCCAAGGAGACTAAACCTAGGTGACCTCCTGTTCTATCAGTGTGACAAAGCTGGGCTGAGGGTTCCCACCCTCTTACTTCTGGCCCCTAGAAGCTGAGCCCGGGAAAACAGAAGCCTGCAAGGGCACTATTGTGTCACACATGTACCACCAGATTGTACAGTGTGACTTTCTGCTCCAGGGGCAGAGCTGGGCTGTCACCATTCCCCAATGGATACATGGGTGGCACCTTGAGCACAGAGGGCAGAGAGGACAGAGCCTGCCCCCTCCTCTAGCCTTGTGGGTGGGCGAGAGAAGTTGCACTTGGGGCCTTGGAAGCCCTAGGGGAGAGTCCCCCAGCCCTGCTGTGCATGGGAAGGGCTCCTGCAGGGCAGGACCGGTACCTGTGAGCCCTTCTCTGGCTCTGCTGAGCTCCTGCTTCCCTATACTCCCTCCCAGATTGTTTGGTTTGGCCTGAAAGCAGATCCCCAGGGCACCAGTGGAGGAAAAACTGGCTTTGAAAGAGGTGAAAGAGACCCTGAGGCATCTTTCAGCATCAAATAGGCCTTTACAAAACAGCTTTTTGATGAGCTAAGTGTAAATGAATTGGCCATATGGGTTGAATTTCCTGGTCCCCAGAGGCTCAGCAGTGAAGGCCAGCCAGAAGCCCAGACTAGAGCACCTAGGGGCTGCCCTTGTTCCCCAAGGCAGGTGGGGGGGATGACACAGGACTCAGGACACCCTTCTACCTCTGGGGACCAACCCTGTCCATCCTGCCCTCATCTGGATTGAGCCCCCAGGCCCCAGGAACGAGCCTGGCTCCACCTAGGATGGTCTGCATGACTGGAACATGGAGGCTCTGTGGCTCTATGCTTTACTTCTTTCAGGGACTGGGGACAGCCTGGTGCCTGCAGAAGTGCTTAGAGCTCTGTGAGTTGTGTCCTGGGTGGGTTTCTGCGTTGTTACTAACATCTCCACCTTGTGAGAGAGGCACTGCGAGAGGGCTGTGGCTGGGGTTCTGGCAGCCCCCTTGTTTGGGGCAGGTTCCTCTGTGTGGAGATGACAAGCCCACACACGCACTAAATTTGTGATGGTCCTTCAGAGCCCAGTGTTCCCCCACTGAGCCTTCCCTGAGAAACTGACTGGCTTTGGAGACAAAAATAGCCAGGAGGGTTGGGGCTGCAGCTCAGTGGCAGAGCACTTGCCTATCACGTGTGAGGCACTGGGTTCGATCCTCAGCACCACTAAAGATAAATAAAATAAAGGTCCATCAATGACTTAAAAAAAAATAGCCAGGAGCCTTGCTCCCTGCCTCTCTCCTCCTGCCCCACACACCGTGTTCCAGAGAGTCCACCTTTGGGGGCGTTGGGAAGAGAACTGGTGGCCGCTGCCCTGTGGGTATTGGCCGGTATTCTGTAGGAAGCCAGTTAACTTGGCAGCTTTAATTTCTGCTCACCCAAAAGGAGGACAGTCTGCTAGAGCCATCCCCCCAGGGAAAGCATATTGGTTTTATAATTGAGGTCAGTGGGGAAATGGGCTTCACTTGACAGCTGTTTAGAGGTGGGGGATGGAGTTATTTCAGCAAGGGAAGGACAGCAGGGTGGCTCAGCCTGGAGCCTGTTGCTACTCAACCAGGAGGCTCCAGGGCAACTCTCAGGGCTGAGGTCAGACCAAGGCTAGGCCAGCTCCCAGCCCTTTGATGGGTCTTCCAGTCTGACCCCTGCCCTCCACTGGAAGAGGATAGCCTAAACGGAGGATCCACTGACACCATAGTCCTGGCCTCTCTGAACTCACCTAAAGCCTTTGTCTGTCAGCAAGATGGGAGCCTGGGGCTCAGCCACTGGGGAGGAGTTAGGTGGAGGGAGACAAGGCAGCAGGGAATGTCCTAGGTGCCCGTGAGATGGGCCTTCCCCCTCACTGGTCCACGCCCATTTGTGTCTGTCCACAGAACAACTCGTGGGGGAAGCAGTACTCATATGCCCTCTTCAAGGCCATGAGCCACATGCTGTGCATTGGATATGGACGGCAGGCGCCCGTGGGCATGTCTGACGTCTGGCTCACCATGCTCAGCATGATTGTGGGTGCCACCTGCTACGCCATGTTCATCGGCCACGCCACTGCTCTCATCCAGTCCCTGGACTCCTCCCGGCGCCAGTACCAGGAGAAGGTAGGTTGGAGAGCCACGTCCACCCAGGGCTCTCTCAGGAGGACCTGCCCACTGGTCCTTTGTATGAGGGAGCACATGTAGCCAGCCCTCAAATGTCTAGTGTGAGCGACAGAGCACGGGTCACCTCCTGAATGAGAACTGCTTCACACCCTGGATTTAAACTTATAAATGTCTCACTATCTGTACCTTCCATGCCTTCCCTGTCCCGTAGCTGGGGGCCTGTCTCTCTGCACTGTCGCATCAGCGCTCTGGGTGTTGTTGAATCCAGTGAGTCTTTTGGGGCCTCATCTTGCTTGGCCTCCTGGTATTTGCAGACTCCTGCTCCTTCTTGGCCTTGCTTGGTTTCCATGACTGCGTGCTCTTGGCTTCCTCCTACCTCTCTGACCAGTCCTACTTGTTCGCCTTTGCTGGCTTCTCTTCTCAGCCGTCACATGGTGGCTGGGCCCTAAGCTCTTTGATTCTCTGCCTCAGTTCCTAGGTGTTCCCGTTCGAGCACCCCCACCCCCGCGTGCTCTGTGTCCATCAGTGGGGCCCAGTTATATAATCAGCTCCACCTCATTGTCAGCCCTGGAGTGTTCATTGGATGCCTCCCTGGATACCTCGACCTCATCACATCCAAAATCAGAACAACCTCCCCGGCCCCCTCCACTCCCAGCGGCCACTCTTCCCATATGTGTTCTCTATTAATGGACACAAGGAGCACAGATGCCCAGCCAGAAACCAGGAGCCATGCTTGCCATCTCTGTCACTAACACCCACCTCAAAGCTGTGTCTCTCTTCTCTTCCTCCCAGCCGGCCTCTGTCCACCCTCACTGCCAGCTTCTGCCTCTCCCCAGGTCACCACAGCAGCTTCAACCACAGCAGCTGAGCTGTGGCCTGGAGTCGGGTTGCCTTGGGTCTCTCCTAGCTTCTTCATTGATGAGTTCTGGGAGCATGGGTAGGTTACCTCTCATCAGGTTAAGCCCTGACCTTTATCACCTGATTGGTGGACTCCGACTGTATGATGGGAGAGTATGCGGAGTGCTGTCCTAGGGTTTGTGAGGAGTAATGCAAGTCAAACCCGCAGCACCGCATTCGCACAAAGCACAGAGCAGGCCATTCAATATTCATTAGCTAAGCAGGCTCCTCTCTGCCCTCTGTTCTACTCATCACATGGTATTTTAAAAATATATCAGTCTGATTGTATTGTTCCTCTGACTGCTGTCTCCTGGTGGGGTGACGGTCAGATGGCAGCCATTCAGATGTGGAGGCCCAGGTCCTGTGACACTAAGAGGAGAGCGTGGGAGAGCCTGCAGAGCTGGGGTGGGTAGGAGAGCTCACTCCGGGGAGGCAGAAGAAGGTGGAAGAGAATTCTAGGTCAGTCGTCAGGGTGCGCTTGAGCAAAGGTTGAGTGGCAGGATGGTAAAGAAATCGGTCTGGTTAGAACAGAGGGTTCTGGGTTGGGAATTCGTGGGCTAGGGAAGGGAGGTACAACAGGAATCAGGTGATAAAGGTCAGGGCTTAACCCAGGTCCAGTTAAGGATTAATCTCAGGCCACCATCAGGGCCTAGCCTGTGACCAGGGTTGGGCTCAGTATGTGACAACATCAGGCTTGGTGTGTGGTTAAGGTCGGAACTCAGTCTGAGATGAGGTTGGAAGTTCTTTCTGGGACCAGAATCAGGGATTGATTTAGAAAATGCATTAGGGTTTATAAGTAGGGCCAGTGTCAAGCTGCATTGTGACTTCCCATTTGAGACTTTTTCCTAGGCTAATAGCTCTCTGAGTTTTTCTGATTCACCTTTGAATCTCTCTTAAATGTCTTCCCTACCCACTATCCCCCTAGATCACTTCACCAACCTTTGGGTTCCTGCCCACTGTTCCCTCCTCTCTGTTCACTGTAGGGGGGAGTCTCTACAACACAGCTCCAAAAGTGCCAGTTGCCTGTGCCCCCACAGCCAGCCAGGAAGTCACTCCCCCACTGGGGCTTTGCACAACTTAGAGAGACAACTTAGGGCAGGTCGACTGGAAGAGCTTGGAGAACATCACCCCTTGGTCTTCAGTTGCCCATTGATATCTCTGTGGAACACTAATATTTGAGAACTGGCTCCCCTTTTCTGATTGTTCCTGGGGCTGTTGGGACTAACCTTCCTTCCCAGGTGGGAAAAATCTGTGTTAGTGCCTAATCAATACCTCCTGTCTTCTATTCTTGAGGACTCCACCCTCCACCCAAAATGCAGGGGCAGTTGGAGCAAGGTTCACCTGGCACTGCCAGGAGGGGCAGGATCATTCCTTATTTGGTTCAAGCCCCAGGGACTTAGGTTCACAAAGCTCTTGCACCTGAACTTCTGTTTGAAGGTCCTGTTCCACCTTGTGTTTCCCTTGGGCTGGAGCTACTGAGGCCACCATTACAGACATACCCTAAAAAGGGCCAGGCCTCCTTGCCTCTGCCTCTAGCCCTTCTGACCTGCTGCAGTCCTGTCCTGATGACTGTGCCCATTTGTCACTACTTGCAGGAGACAGCTCCTCCTCTTCCAGAGTCAGTGTCTTGTTTGTACTGTAGAAATGACAGACATTCAGAAGAAACTTGATTACCCTTCTGGGCAGTTGGTATCCTGTAACTGGACGTTGGACAGTCCCTGTTCCCCCCGCCCCTTCTCCACATCTCTATAGTATGGAACACAAGAACAGACACCAAGGGAGCCCCTTCCCCCATGCCCCATGCACTCCAAGAGTTGGAGTCAGGGCCATTGTTTTGGGCACAAGCATAGTCATACCCACACCAAGGACATTTAATCTCAAGGAACCAGGGTTGGCCAGAAAAGCCCCCAGGATTAAGGCCCAGCTCTGGTCATCAGCTGGGGGTACCCGGAGGTAACATCTTTCTCTTTCCCCCATCCTCAGTATAAGCAGGTGGAGCAGTACATGTCCTTCCACAAGCTCCCGCCCGACACCCGGCAGCGCATCCATGACTATTATGAGCACCGCTACCAAGGCAAGATGTTCGATGAGGAGAGCATCCTGGGCGAGCTGAGTGAGCCACTGCGGGAGGTGAGCCTGCAGGTGGCCTGGGCAGTGGGGAGAGCCCTGCCTTGCTGGCAGGCATCGCCCCTCACCTCCTTCTCCCATCCCAATCTGTGCAGGAGATCATCAACTTTAACTGCCGGAAACTGGTAGCCTCTATGCCACTGTTTGCCAATGCAGACCCCAACTTTGTGACCTCCATGCTGACCAAGCTCCGCTTTGAGGTCTTCCAGCCAGGGGACTACATCATCCGTGAGGGCACCATTGGCAAGAAGATGTACTTCATCCAGCATGGCGTGGTCAGTGTGCTCACCAAGGGCAACAAGGAGACCAAGCTGGCTGATGGCTCCTATTTTGGAGGTAAGGTGTCCACAGGGGTCTGGGGTAGCAGGGGCCACTAGGGAATAGGCTGGAGAGACTCTGGAGGACAGAGGCACTGTCATAGCCTCAGCCTGGAGGTGGGTGTCTCTGAACCCAGTATAGAGATGTCTTAGTCCATTTGGGCTGACAAAGCACTACAACCTGGTGACTTAAGAAGAACAGAAATTTATTCCTCACAGCTCCAGAAGCTGGAGTGTGAGGCCAGGGTGCTAGCATGGTCAGGTTCTTGTAAGGGGCCTCTTCCTGGTTGCAGACTGCTGCCATTTCTACTTCCTCACAGGGTGGAAAGAGTGTGCTCTCTCTCTCTCTCTCTCTCTCTCTCTCTCTCTCTCTCTCTCTGGAGAGTACCATTTATGAGGACTCCTCTCTCATGACCTGGTCACTTCCAAAGCCCCACCTCCAGATACCATCACATTGAGTTTAGGGTTTCAGCCTAGGGATTGTGGGATGACACAGATGATCAGCCCTTGCAGGGGATGGTCCCAGAGATGGTAAACAATCCCACATCCAATTGGTGGAGGGACTGTTATCCAGTATGATCACAGCCTTGGGGCGGGGGGTCTTGTGAGCCTGTGAGGCTTCTGCACCAAGCAGTGGGGGACCAAAGTCAGAGCAGGGAAGCCCCCACCCCCACCATGGCCTGGGAGGCTGTGCACACCCCACCCTGATTTCTGATATCCTGGCAGAGATCTGCTTGCTGACCCGGGGCCGGCGCACAGCCAGTGTGAGGGCCGACACCTACTGCCGCCTCTACTCACTGAGTGTGGACAACTTCAATGAGGTGCTGGAGGAGTACCCCATGATGCGGAGGGCCTTCGAGACTGTGGCATTGGACCGCTTGGACCGTATAGGTGAGGGGACGGGCAGGAGGGTGGGAGGGCAGGAGGGTGGGAGGGCAGGTTCCCTCCTGCAACCTTGCCACCTTTCTGCTCTGCCTGAGCGCTTGCTCTTGCATTATGCCCTAGGCAAGAAGAACTCCATCCTCCTGCACAAGGTCCAGCATGACCTCAACTCTGGCGTCTTCAACTACCAGGAGAATGAGATTATCCAGCAGATCGTGCAACATGACCGTGAAATGGCCCACTGTGCGCATCGTGTCCAGGCCGGCGCCTCTGCCACCCCAACCCCCACGCCTGTCATCTGGACCCCGCTGATCCAGGCGCCACTGCAGGCTGCCGCTGCCACCACGTCTGTGGCCATAGCTCTCACCCACCACCCTCGCCTGCCTGCTGCCATCTTCCGTCCTCCCCCAGGACCCGGGCTGGGCAACCTCGGGGCTGGTCAGACACCAAGGCACCTGAAGCACCTGCAATCCCTGATCCCTTCTGCTCTGGGCTCCGCCTCACCTGCCAGCAGCCCATCCCAGGTGGACACGCCATCTTCATCTTCCTTCCACATCCAACAGCTGGCTGGATTCTCTGCACCCGCTGGACTGAGCCCTCTCCTGCCCTCGTCCAGCTCGTCCCCACCGCCAGGGGCCTGTGGCTCCCCACCAGCCCCCACACCGTCCACTGCTGCAGCTGCCTCCACCACGGCCGGGTTTGGCCACTTCCACAAGGCTCTGGGTGGCTCCCTGTCTTCGTCCGACTCCCCGCTGCTCACCCCACTGCAATCAGGGGCCCGTTCCCCACAGGCTGCCCAGCCACCACCCCCACTGCCTGGGGCCCGGGGAGGCCTGGGACTCCTGGAGCACTTCCTGCCTCCTCCACCCTCATCCAGGTCCCCGTCATCTAGCCCTGGGCAGCTGGGCCAGCCTCCCGGGGATTTGTCCCCAGGTCTGGCCACTGGCCCACCAAGTACACCAGAGACACCCCCACGGCAGCCCGAGAGGCCATCCTTCATGGCAGGGGCCTCTGGAGGGGCTTCCCCTGTAGCCTTTACCCCCCGAGGAGGTCTCAGCCCCCCTGGCCAGAGCCCAGGCCCCCCAAGAACTTTCCCAAGTGCCCCACCCCGGGCCTCTGGCTCCCATGGTTCCCTGCTGCTGCCACCCGCCTCCAGTCCCCCACCACCCCAGGTTCCTCAGCGCAGGGGCACGCCACCCCTCACCCCAGGCCGCCTCACCCAGGACCTCAAGCTTATCTCAGCCTCTCAGCCAGCCCTCCCCCAGGATGGGGCACAGACTCTCCGCAGAGCGTCCCCGCACTCCTCAGGGGAGTCTGTGGCTGCCTTCCCGCTCTTCCCCAGGGCCGGAGGCAGCAGCGGGGGAAGCGGAAGCAGTGGAGGCCTCGGTCCTCCTGGGAGGCCACATGGTGCCGTCCCTGGCCAGCATGTCACTCTGCCTCGGAAGACATCCTCAGGTTCTTTGCCACCCCCTCTTTCATTGTTTGGGGCAAGAGCCACCTCTTCTGGGGGCCCCCCTCTGACTGCTGCACCCCAGAGGGAACCTGGGGCCAGGTCTGAGCCTGTGCGCTCCAAACTGCCGTCTAATCTATGAGCCGGGCCCCTCCCTCCCTCCCTCTCCTTTTTTCTCCCTTCTTTTCTTCCTTCAGGTTTAACTGTGATTAGGAGATATACCAATAACAATAATAATTATCATTTAAAAAAATCCCACACACACACCCCAGAAAAACAAAAGACAGCAGAAAATAACCAGGTATTCTTAGAGCTATAGATTTTGGTCACTTGCTTTTATAGACTATTTTAATACTCAGCACTAGAGGGAATGAGGGAGGGAGGGGGAGGGAGCCGGAGGGGAGCAGGCAAGGCCCAAAGGCAAAAGCCAGAAGAAGGCAGGTGGGTTCTCTGGGGTGGGACAGGGATGGGGGTGACCCATGTCTGGGGTTCCTAGAGCAGACCTGTCATTGTACTCATTTTAGAACAAGAGCTACCATCAGCCCCTTGGCTGTGAACTTGGAGCCCCACTCTGTTGGGGGTCGTCATATTCCCCCAGGAAGGGGCTGTCCTTGGGTGTGTTCCTGGGGAGGCTCAGACACTTGTTTCCTTGGGACAAATCGGGGCCGGGGCCCCAAGGGCCTTGCATTTTTTTCTACTGTTATCGTAGCAAGATATGTATATGAATATGTATATGTATATGTATGTAAGATGTGTATATGTATAGCTATGTAGCGCTCTGTAGAGCCATGTAGATAGCCACTCACATGTGTGCACACATGTGTGCAATCTAGTTTAACCCTGTGTTGCCAGGACACCCAGGTCACCTTACATCCAGCAATCCGCCGTGGCCCGCAGGCTGGGCACCGCGGGGTCTGGGGATGTACTCTCTCCAGTCCTCAGGGAAGAGGACCCCCAGGACCTCGCAGCAGACCCTTCTTTCCCCATCTCTGGGCCCAAATCCAGTCCTAGCCTGACCTCTCACCACTGGGAAGCAGAAGACTTGGGGCTGAACCTCACCCTTCCCAGGGCCTCAAGCACACCGTCACCTCTGTGGCCCTCAGTGTTCCCAGCTAAACAAGGGAGGCGAGGGAACTTCTGTTTATTGAGTCTGCTCTGTGCCAAGCACTGGTTTTGCACTTTACACACATTAACTCCTTCAGTCTCACAAAGACCGTGAGGTAGGTACTTTGATTCTCCCCATTTCACAGATGAGGAAAATGAGTTCTTAGTAATTTTTCCAGAATCATGTAAGCAGGAGCAGCTGGGCTGGGACTAATGAGATGTAGGTCTGTGTCCACCCAAGGCCAGAGCCTATCAGAAAAGTGTGTTTCGAGGGGCTGAATTAGATGGCCCCAAGCCTGGTGCACAGGGAAGAGACCAGAGTCTGGCCACAATCAGGCTTAGGTTCTAATACTAGCCCTGCCACTTAGCTTTGGGACCTTGGGCAAATTATCTGACCTTTCTGAATCTGTTACCTCATTTGTAAAATAAGAATGATTATGGTACTGCCTCACAAGGATCTATGAGAACCAGATAAGAAATAGAATATATGTGAAATGCCCAGCCCGGTGCCTGGCATACAGCATAGTAGGTGCTCAATAAATCACGTTTCTTCTGCCCCCTCCTCATGTGCCCAGCCCATTTCTCCATCGAGCTGTGGTGAGAACCCAGAGAGCTTTGCCTGAGGACTCCAAGTCTTAAAAATTATCTCAGAACTCAGGAGGTGGCCAAGGGAGATGTGTGGACAGTGGTAGCTTGGGCCAGGCCTTGAGATGTGGGAGGAATTGGAGAGAGGGAGGAAGACAGGGGGCATGGAGTGGCAGGTGTGGGCCAGAGCACTTGGGGGGTGATTACCAAGGCAGATGTGGAGCTGGGCTTCGGGAGGAGACTCACGGGCTGCAGGGCAGAGGCAGGGCCTTGGATGGCAGGCCACGAGGCTGAGGTATACTTGGTTCTGAAGGCAACCAGAGGCCACAAGCAGGTTCAGGGGGGACGGGCACAAAGTGGAAGCGGCTGAGGTACCCCAAGGTTCAACTGTCCTCTCCAATAGGATACTGGCAGAGCCAAGGGCAGAGGCAGGTGTGGCCATAAGACCTGCATGAGGACTGCTTGTCCACGCAGAGTTCTCCATGCTCCAAGCCAGAGGGTAGGCAAGATCAGGTTGCCCTGTGCTGTTCTGGGACAAGAGACAGGCTGAGTTAGTGGCCTGTAGATGGTGTCAGGGAACTGGAGGCAATAATCCAGGAGAGAAGGGGCCAAGGTCCTGGGATCCTAGGTGAAGACTAGCAACCGTTGGCCCGAGTTTCCACAGAGCTGGAAAGGCCTCTTAGGACCCAGAGAGTTCTTAGACCTGATAGGATCTAAGCTTCAACCTGAGTTCCACAAGCCCCCACCTTCGTGCTCCCCCAAGGAAGGCAGCTCAGAGGAGGCAGCAGGCCTGGAAGGGGCAGGAGTGGAGTGGGAGGGTCCAGGGCACATGGGGTGAGGAGTCCCTTGAGGCCGGGGCCTGGCCTAGCCACCCTCTTCTTGACTCACACCACCATTTTATAAACTCGGACCCGGGCTGGCCTCTCTGGGGAGACTTTCGAGAGGCCAGGTCATCAGTGGGCCCTCCCATCCCTAATCCTCACAAGCAATTTTCAAATCTTCCACTTTTAAAACAGAAAACGGTAAATGCACCGTGTTGTATATTTTATTTAAATAAAAAAATTCCAGCAAATGCTGCCTTTTTCTAGGGGACAGGGTCGGGGTTGGGTGAGGTTAATGGGAAATCCTGGAGTCTTAGAAGCCCAGCTGTGCAGGGCTTGGAACACACATGGGCATGTGTACAAACCTTCACTCTCAAGCCCATTGGGTCGAGCTCTGTGCCCAGAGGTGTGCATGGGAGTATATAAGGCCCAACACAGGTGTGTACCTGCAGGTGGGTCATTAAGTCTGCATCTTTGCTACTGCAGGGGGAGGCAGAGCTGGGGGAAGTGAAGACCCTGACTCAGATCCTTCCCGACTGCCAAGACTCCAAGGTCCTAGGTGGTAGTAAACAATGCTAGAAGCTGAGAAGGGAAATTCCATCTTTGCCTGATCAGGCAGGTCCCTCAGAAGAGTTGGAGGGAAGCTGGGGACCTGAGGTGGCAGGCTGGGGGGAAGGCATCATGGGGCTGGCTGAGGATGGGGGCACAGTGCTGGACCTCTGTGTGGCTCAGGCAGACTGGGTAGAGGTGCCAGAGCTGGGGCCCAGTTGGAAGGAGGTGTGGCACCGTCTTTCCCCCTCCAGTGCCAGTGGTGGTTGGGGGCTGCTGGGTCTGGTCCCCTCCACCAACCCTGCAGCAGACGGTCCCTACAGGCCCTCATACCTCACTGTGTGGGGAAGGCCTGAGGCTGGGAAAGCGGAGTCCCCCGGGGCTCCCGGTGGTGTAGGGAGTGCCTTCTTGCCTGTAGGAGAAGGGGAAAGTCCTCCAGAAAGGGCAGGGATCCCGGTGGCCAGCCGTTCCCCATCATTGCTTGCTGAGGCCGTTTCCGTGGCAACCAGCCTGGGAGTCCCGTTGCGTTGCTAAGGAGGCAGCTCAGCAGGGCCTGGCGTCCCCATGACAACTGCCCCCTGCGGCCAGGCAGTGGTGCTTCCTTTGGGACCCAAGGCACAACACAGGGACAGGCCCAGGTGCTGCCAGGCAATCTGTGCTTAGACAACTGCCGCCACCTCTGGGTGACTGGCCTCGGGCTGGGGAAACCTTTTCAGCTGGACAGCCACTGTAGGAAGCCTGGGGAGGGGGCTGTTCCTGGGGTTCACTGGGGATTCCAACCAAACCGCTAAGTCGGTGGCTATATCAGTCACTATCTTCCCTGTTCCCTACCCCAGAAGAACACTCAGTAAGTGCCTACTGCATTCTAGATACTGAGTGTTTTCCTGTTACCTTATTCCATCCCCCCCCCAAATCCTATAAGGTCAGAATGAGCCCCAATCACAGTGAGCCAAGGACTCTGAAGCTCAGATGGGGCAGGAACTCATCTTACCCCCGTCAGCTAGAATGGAAGGAGCCAGGGTGCACACTCAGGGCCCCGAGACTCAAACCTCGCCCCTTCTTGCAGCATGGTAGGAGCTGTTGTCCTGGGAGAGTATTAAAAACAATAATGAAAATGACTTCAGTCCTAGTTTGCTTTCCTTTATCACCATATGCTGCCAATTCAAGACAACGTCAGTGATAAGACACCCTCCCCACCAGGGCAGACAGCTCCCCCTCACCTTGAATTGCCACTGCCACCCCCGTGTTTCAGCCTCCAGGGGCACCTGCTGTGTTCATGGCAGCCAGAAACAGTGGGAAGGCCTGAGACTTCCCTTCTGCCTCAGTGGGACTAAATCAGACTAGGGAATTTGCAAGAAAATTTTAAAAGATGTAATAAAATCCCTCCCCTTTCCTTTCCCAGCTGACACCCCTCTTTCATCTCAGACATCTTGAGAGTTGTCCCAACTTCCTGTCCTCATTTCCCTCCTTGGGCATCACTTCTTCCTCCCCTGCAATCTGGTTTCTGCCTCTCCTCGCTGCTGTCCCACCTGGAATGGCTCTGGACAAAGTCCCCATAGTCCACACAGTGGAATCCAGGGGCTGCTGACTTTGTTGACCAGGTCCTCCCCAGCTTCATGGTCCCTGCTGTCTCCTCACTGCCCCACCTTTCTGCTCAGCCTTAGCTTTAAGGGCTCCTCTTTCTTCCAAAAGGTTCGTGCTCCTTGGGCCTCTAGCCGTGACCCCTATCTTGTCACTCCATACATGCTCCCAGGGCGACCTCACTTATGCCCATGGCTTCCCACTCAGAGGCAAAAGCCTCCCAGATTTCCCCTTCATCATAGGCCCCCAATCCTGAGCCTCAGCCGGGGGTTCTGCCACATGGGCTGCTCACCCTCCTCTGAAGGAGCAGCCCTTTCACCCTCTTCTGAGCACGCAGGTCCCAGTGCACCCAGAGTGTGTCCTCCCCAGCCGCTGCCCCTTGGTGACTTGACTTCTTCAGTTTCATTTCTCTTGAAGATGGAATATGTCATGCATGCAGAAGAAGACATAGCACACAAATAAGACATTAAAAATAAAATAAACAGCCATTTACCAACCACCCAGTTTAAGAAATAGAACATAAGGAGTACACCTAGAAGCATCTGTGAAGATGCCCAACTATTTTATTCCTCTAAGGGAAACCACTCATCTGGGCTTTAATTGTGTTGTCCCCTTACTTTCCATGATCCTTCCACTAGGGAAATAAATGTCTCTAAACAATGTTACACACCAAGGTGGGGGAGTGGGGATTGGAAGTTGTTTCCTTGAGGGGGAGGAGGACACTGATAGTAATACTGTTCAGCATTGCTGGTACATGGTGACAATAAAAATCAACTTACGCTTCAGTTAGTTTAATTATTGTTTTAAATTTCTTTACAAACAATGTATCTTTTTTATCATCTGCACTAGGGACTGGGTCATACCCACCTCCTGTTTATAGACCACTCAATGCATTTGTGATTTTTAAGCTTTACATACATGATGCATCTATTCATAATTCTTTCTTTCTGTTCAATAGTATAATTTTGAGATCCTAATAATGCATGGAAGGTAGTTGATTCGTTTCCCTTGCTGTATAGCATTCCAGTCCTTGAATAGTCTACAATTTACATTTGTATTCTTCCAAAGAAGGGTGTGTCTGTCGATTCCAGTTCTCACCAATATCAACTTGGCTGCGGCAAGTGCTCTTGTTCATGGCTCCTGATGAAGATGTGTACAGGGTCTCTGGACTCTATAGCTAGGGGTGGAATTAATGAGTCAAAGGGTGAGTTAATCTTCACTTTACACGATAACACCAAGGGCTAGAGCTATAGCTCAGTGGTAGAGCTCCTGCCTTGCACGTGTGAGGCACTGAGTTCGATCCTCAGCACCACATAAAAATAAATAAATACAGATGTTGTGTCCCTCTACAACTAAAAAAAAAAAAAAGATATTGCCAGCTGTTTCAAGTATTCTAAACCACTTATCCTTCCAGCTGCAGGGCATGGGAGTCACTCTTGCTCCATGTTTTTGGTCAATTACTGGAATCCTTTGCTAAATGTTCCAGTAGAAAAAGTCTCAGATTTCAACAATATGTCACAATAAAGGTTTGTTCCAGTGTGGGCCAGGCTGCCACTTTCTTTACTGATATCAACTTAAAAAAAAAAAAAAAGTCCAGGTCTTAAAGATCCCCGTGGGAGAAGAAGAGACCAATGGGAGAGATGTGGAATCTGAGTCATCTCTCTAGCAGGGACACATATCACTGCCTCGAATATCCATTGTCAAGGGCCATAACATAGCTGCAAGAACTGATACGAGGGGATCTGGAATATTTGCTGGGCATTAACTATCCTGGCCAATCCTTTCAATATGGTCTTTTAATTTTCTTCATCAAGTTTTCTATTAGATTGATTACCAGTTCCTTGTATGTTTGTTGCTGCTGCTAATTGTATTTCTTATCCAGCTATAATTTCTGTGTAACAAAATCTAACAATTTAAATGTACAGTTCAATGAGATTTGACAAAGAGACACACTTCTACAACCATCCCCAGTTAGGACATAGAATATTTCATTACTCCCTAGAACTCCCTCTGCAGTCTCCTCCTTTCAAACCTGACCCTGGGAAATCTGTTTTTTTGTCACTCAGGGTTTGCCATTTCTAAAATGTCATCTAGGTGGCATCACAAATTGTTGAGTCTGTGTCATTTGTTTCATTAGTCTTGTGCTGCTGTGCTTGGTCAGTGCCACGTGCAACAACATTCTCCTGTATGGGATGGCATGAGTCATTCACTCTTCCACTGATGAACGATGGGCTACTTCTGGCTTTAAGTTATTAATAAAGTGCTGACGAACATTCATGTTTCAGTCTTCATGTGAGTGTAGATTTTCTTTTTCAAAAAAACTTTAAATTGACAAATACAAATTGTGTATGTTTATCATGAGCAGCATGAGGCTTTGAAATATGTGTGAGCAGTGAAATGGCTAAATCATTGTGTGTTTGTGTATGTGTGTGTATGTGTGTGTTTGTGTGTGTGTGTGTGTGTGTGTGTGTGTTAAGTTCTACTCTTAGCGATTTTCAAGACTAATAATAGGTTTTTGTTGATCTTAAAGACTTAAGAGCTGGGTATGGTAGTGCACACTTGTTAATCCTGGAGGATCGGGAGGCTGAGGCAGGAGAATTGTGAGTTGAAAGCCAGCCTCAGCAATTTAGTGAGACCCTGCTCAAAATAAGAAATAAAAAAGTGCTGGGGATGTGGGTTAGTGGTTAAGCACCCCTGGGTTCAATTCCCAGTACCCTCGCCCAGGAAAAAGACCTAGGAGTGGCACATAAGTATGTTTTTAATTATATAAGCAACGGTCAGGTGGGGTGTGATTGCAAGTATGAGGTCTGCCTGAGCAAATAGGGAGCCCAATTCAATCCCTGGTTACTCCCCACAAAAATGAGGTAAAAGAAAAAGCTCAGATTCCCCCCCCCCCAAAGTTGAAGTACTGTCTCGCATCCCCATCAGCAGTTACATGATAGTGCTGGTCACTTCCTACCCTTAACGATGCTTGATGCTGTCAGTCTTCTTGATTTTTTACCATTCAAGAGAGTGTGTCATGTTAATTCCTGGTTTTAATTTACATTTTCATAATGACTAAAGATGCTGAGCATCTTTTTAGGTATTTATTTGCTATCATGCCTGTCCTTTGGTAAAGTGACTGTTCAAACCTTTCTTCATTTGTTTTTATTGAGTCATTTATTTTCTTATTATTGAATCATAATACATTTAAGATACAAGTCCTTTAAAAGAAAGATGTTCTACAAATATTTTCTCCTAATTTGTGGAATACCTTTTCATTTTCTTAACCATGTATTTCAGAGTGAACATTTTACTTTCTCTTCCCAAGCATTTCTTCTTTTAAAACATTTTTATATTGGTGCATACTAATTATATAGAATCCTGGTTTCATTGTGGTACATTCCTACGTTCATAGAACATAATATGAACCATTTCCCTCCTGGGGGAAGGAGGAGGGAGGGGACAGGTAGGTACCAGACCCTCTTTCTCTACCCCATGGTCTCCATTCTACTTTCATGAGATTCTGTTTTTTCTCATTTTTTCCCCTTCAGCTTTCATATGTGAGAGAAAACAAATAGGGAGTGGACTAGAGGATCTCAGTTTAGCTGGGTCTGGTCACTTTGGGCTCTGAGCTCCACTTGTCCACTAGTCTTCTGAGTCTGAATTATCTGACTTAATATAATATCCTCCAGTCCCATCCTTTGTCCTGCACTTGACATAATTTTCTTCTTTATGGCTTTTTTGGTTTGTTTTGTTTTTGAAATGGTGTCTTACCTTGCTGCCCAGCTCTCCAGGAAGTGCTGAATACTCCCTCCTTCCCCACATCACTTCATTCAGGTCTGCTAGCTGTCCATTAAATGTCCGTGCTCTGTCTAGGCAATGAATGCAGACTGTCTTCCTAATTTTGCATCTTTAGTGCCTGGCACACAGTAGGTCTTCAGGAGTATCCCAAAGCAATAAATGACTCCCAGATTCTTAGGTGAGGAAGGCCCTTCTTCACGGACCAGTGCTAAGGGACTTTGACAAGTTCCTAATTCTTCCGGGGGAGCACAATTAGGAAGGTTTTGCAGAGGAGGTAAGGCTAAGCCGAGTCTAGGACGTGGTAAGAGGGATCTATCTTCCGTGTGGAGGAACAGTCCTTCTCTCATGTCACCTGCCCACAAGATTTCTTTGGTTTCAGTTCCAGTTTTTCATGTTTCGTTTTGGCTGTCCTGGGGATTGAATCCAGGGGCACTCTATCCCTGAACTATCACCCAGCCTTTTTAATTTTACTTATTTTTATTTTGAGTTGGTGTTTTGCAAAGTTTCTGAGTTACAGTTCTGTGCCACAGTGCCTGGCCAGTGTCCCCTTTGTGTGGTAATCTAGAATGTCTATCAGTGGGTTCTTCTGCCATTTCTAGGCAACTTTGCTTATGGGTGCCCAATCCATCATTTTGTGTTCAAGAATAGATCCAGGCTCCTCATGCATGGTATTAGGCAGGGGAGATACAGCTAATTTAAGTTAGAAAAGGCACCTGGGCAATTGTGTGGAAGTCGCCAATGAGACTGAGGCAGGGGGTCCATCAGGGGCTTGCTAAAAGACAAGAAGGAGGTGCTCTAGGGGACCCTTGAGAGCAAGAACTGGCAGGATTTGCTGAGCAATGTTTTGTGATGTTAAGGGAAGAGCTTAGAACAGCTCCCAGATCTCCACTTTGGGAGACAGTAGAGCTGTCAGTGAGTACAGGTACCTAGCAACTAGGCAATGGGGCTCTGCTCCAGGACCTGGGAGGGAGGATGTGACAGTGTAATATGATGACAACCCAGATAGTAGATGCCTTGTTAAATCTGGATAAGGTTGACTGGAGCCCATGACAGGTCTTGTGCCCTCTCCTCCGCCCGCTAAATTTCTGTGGATTCTCAGCTTAGCTGGGTCTGGTCACTTTGGGCTCTGAGCTCCTGCTTCCAATCAACCAATTCTGTTTATGGCTTGTTTGCACATGCCAGACTCACGGTTCCTCTGCCGCGTGGGCCAGGGGCTCTTTTCTCCATCTGGGGTAGTGACCTACAGCTCATGAAAAGCCTGTGCATGAGGCAGGTGTTAAACAAGACTTGGGGAGTCGAAGGGAGTCTACCTCATAGAAGTGCCAACAGCATTAAGTCATCTTTCAGATCATCCCATTTAACAGATCTTTGGAAAGCCTCAAGGCCAGCCATTTCCTTCTGGAGGCACTTTCCCATGTGGCCCCAAATCCTCTTGCCACCTTGGGGAAGGTACCAGCTGCCCACCCTCCAACTGTTTTGGGAAATTCTTAACCTTTCTTCTCAAATGCAGCAAATGATCCTGCTAAACTTCTCTGAACTCGGCCCCTTTTCATTTCCCAGCTCCATGAAGCTCCTAGTTGAGTAGAAGGGTATCCTGACATGGATGAGGCCATCAGGCTGAAGGGTAACTGTGTCTTAATGACACTTAACACTGCATATGAAAAATTTCAAGTATTATCTTCCTCAACTACTATCTCCCACCTCTCCCCCAGCACCCCTGGTGCTCCCTGCTTTGATAGCTGGAACCCCAAGACCAAGAATCTGGGACCTGCTGTCTGGGCTCCTTTTGTCTGTGTGGTCAGGGGTGGTCCCTCTCGGCTCCCTGCTTGTCTGTGTCCTGCCCATGCCCCCACAGGCCATCTGCCGGTGGCTTGTTTATTGCTGCCCTTGTTTCTACTGATAGTGCTCTTCCCATCTGGCAGGAAGGTGACTAAAATTGGGAAGGGCTGAAAACAGGGGTGGAGGGAGGTGTTTCTTCTTTGTATCCAGCCTTGCCCATGTCGCTCATCTGAGAACCAAGCTGCAGGACATCCTTGTCTTAGTTCCCAGCATCAAGGTAGTCTTGGCATCAACATTCTTAGGACTCCAAGAAAGGTCATTACCAGGCAGGTAGGTCATTGTTATCTTTGAGTTCTCCCCAGCTTGTCAGAGGGTCCCTGTTGCTGACATGGGAGGGTCCTGACATCAGAACACCAGGGACTGATAGAAATCCCTGGAAGGGTGGGGAGGGGGACGGGCTGGAAGACTTCCAACACACTCCAGCCAGGAGTCCTTGGGACTCATCCAAGAGACGAGTATCAGCCATTGTCAGAAACTGCTTCAGCATTAGGTGTTCCAAAAGGAATGAGAAAATCACTTGTCCCCAGAGCCCAAAGGCTCTCCGACAGACCCATCGCTGTAAAATGTGCCAAGAGCGCCACCTAGGGATTCAGAGGTGGCAGCGCAGACAGGCGCTGCGGTGATTGCACTGGAGTGGCAGTGAAGAGGGCATCCATGTGCAAGATGAATGGTCTCAGGAGCATCTTGCGTGCTAGAGCAGTAGGTGTACCAGGAGGCAGGGCTCTAGACCTGGAGGCTGTGGCAGACAAGCAGATGCAGAGCTCGGGGAGATCAGACTTGGACACAGCTTATAGGGATGGTGGGACCTGGGTTTCCGTAAGTACAGGCTGGCAGCAGGGCAGGTGGACGCGGGGGCAGAGACACGCTGTGCTCCCGACAGCCTGCACTCTGCTGCAAGCTCATGGATGGCAGTGAGCCTGTGGCGATTGTGGGCTCCACTATTTGTAGCCCAGAATTTAGGCCAACACAAGGAGTCTTGGAGTGAATGCGAGAAGGTGAGGTAGCCTGGCAAAGTCCGCCTCTCTACAGACCTCTGCCCCTGGTGTCAGGCATCCAAGAATGGTGAGTCGGGAGTGGGAAGGACAGCCCACTGTGGCACAGAATGAGCTGTGTGGTAGCCATCTGGCATGTATGCCACTTAGGGTTGCTGCTTAGGTGTCATTTGCCATTCCTGAGGCCTTGGTCCTTGTAGAACAGCAATAGCTGGGGAAAGGGCAAGGACAGGGACAAAACTCATCTTTGGGGCTGGTGGATGGTCAGACATCTCCTGGATTATATGCCACCCCTCCTTGGGTCCCCCTGGGAACTTCTGGCTTTATAGTTGCAAGGGGAACAGGGAGGCCTATCGGAAGTTGGGGTACAGGGGGCCCCTGAATTGGGAAAATAACTATTTGACCAGACCAGAGTTTGATTGGATTAAAAAAGTGTATTGGGTTTCCAATACTAAATAAAAACATGAAATTGTTTTTTAAAAAGCCATAGAGTTTACAGCATCAACTACAGAAAAGGCCAAACAAATGTATACAGAACCCAGTCCAGCAGTCCTCCAGGACCCTCCAGCAGGCTGCAAGGCAACAGACACATTTGCTCCACATCCTCCTGAAGGAAGCTGCTGAGCCGCAGCTCAACTAGGACACAAGACACACAATGGTTTA